GCCATGTCCACACCCAGGATCCGAATTGGTGAAACCCTGGGCCGCAGAGTGCGCGAACTTAACCGCTCAGCCATGGGGCAGGCCCCGACACTCTCCTCTTTATGTGCCTTCTCACAGTTCATCACAGACCCCATCTGTCCTAAGAAGGGGAAACGTTCTGCCCCATTCACAGCGTGTCTTCTAGTAGCTGTCACCCCTTTAGCTTCTCCAAGGAATACAACCTACTTTCCAAAGTTAACTTCCATTTCACATCACAAGGCTAAAAAAAGTTCATTTTACTTCCCATTTGACAACCTCCAGGTTCCTGTTTAGACGTCTGTCATTCTGATTTGACTGTCACGTATGTGATTTGTATAGCACTGGCAGAGAACTTGATCTTCCATGCATGGAGCCTTGCATAAAGTATTCACTTTTTTCATATACAATTCTGAGGACCATGCTCCAATTTGAGCTCCCTTTTCTTGTAAACATTGTGCAGAAAGGGCTTTGTCTCTGAAAATAATTTTCTCCTAATGTTTAAATGAGGAGGTGGACAAGGCAAACTTCTCTTCCTCATAACAACCCACTGGATGCTGGTCTGCCAAGGTTCCATGAAATGAACTCTAACAATGCAACAGACCAATGCTCGGCCTCCAGAACTTCTGAGTCCATCTTCATCCCAACACATACCTAATATGCTGGTGCTCTTGTGAAAAAGCAAAACAAACCAAAACCACAGTATATTTTTATTGTGTAGGCTTGTAATTTCTCTTTTTGGAGACTACTTTAGTGGAAGGAATAATGTCATTAATACTAAAAGCATTTTTTTTTTAAACTCCTTTGATCCTTTAATCTTATCCTCTCGGCTACCTCACTCTGCTTTCCTCTTGTCTGCTCACAGCTCCTTGTCTTCTCTTCCTTCCTTCCCATTCTACATCCTGGACCTGAAACCCAACAGGCTGCTGGGTCTAGGCTTGCTTCTTCCTGCTCAGCCCTGTGAGCCCCACCCCCTCCTCCTCACCTGTTTCTCTAGCTTGCTCTCTTTTTGGACTGTTATCAGCAAAACCAAACTAGGAAGAGTCTGGGTGAAGTTGCTGACATTTCACAGGATCTGGGGTGGGGTCTGTGGCCCTGAAGCTGATATCACAATAAGATGCACGGGCAGATCATGTTTCAGGCAGGAGTTATACATTCTTCTTGGGTTTTAAAATAAGTCTTGTACTTTGAAGATGAACATTAGCTAACTGAGACTAGAGATAACACAGAAGATATGTCTAATTCCCTTTCATTTTCTATTTACCAACCCATTATTTTTATGATTGTGCATATTCCACAATTAGCTTCGCTAGTGCAGATGTGGAATGAAAACCAGCACGGATTAAACACTGCTCTGGTTGATTGGACAAACATGAATGTGTCATTGTCTTTGATCATCTTGAACTTCGCTAATAACAGCGAGATGCCTGAGCATCCTTAATGACTATCAACAAACGAGGGGTGAGTATTTCATAGATGGATTTCTTAACTATTCAGATTAAGGTGTGAGGGTATGGGAAGGTTAAGTTTTGAGTTTCCATCAAACCCCTGTAATCTGACCCTAGTCATCAAATGACCATAATGCCGGAAGTTTCTTGGTGAAATACAACTCACTGTGAATTCTGATTACATTTCCTATTCCCTTCCAAAAAACAGAAAGGAAATTAAGTTATCTTTGATTACATTACAAAAATTCAATTGGTGTCTGGGCAGTCGTTGGAAGCCAAATGTTCTACTGCACAGAGGCGGGCTCTGGGCTCCTGGGCTCTGGACATGGCTTTGCCCTCTTATCCTTCAGCCAAGCAATTTATAAGCATCAGGAGAGAGTTAAAAGAACACAAATGTACTGTGTGTTTTCATTATGAACAAGGCAAACTATCTTTCGTTTATATGGAATAAACAGAAAATTACATCCCTTGAAACATGAGTGCGTTTGTTTCTTCCTCATAGCAATGTCACCAATTTCAACATATCAAGTTTCTTAAACCTTACTCAGTGAAGCCAGGTCACATGGCGGAGCAAAGTACACCAGCGATCTACTTTAGGAGTTCTCAACCATTTTCGGGTTGTAGACCACTTTGTTAGTGTCACAGAACACTAAAAATTTTAATTTCTCAAATGCATTGTGCATACAAATCACCTGAGGGTTTTGTTGAAATGAAGCATCTGACCAGGTAAGACAGAGGTGAGGCCCAAGGTTTGCATCTCGCAGGAGGTGCGGATGCTGTGGTCCATGGACCACAGTTGAACAGCAGGGTTATGCAGCATATTGCCTCCTAGCTGTATGTGCCCCAGATTGCCAGTAGAATTATTAGGCAGATATGAACTGTTTTAGCTAAACTCAAACAAGGCAATCCCTGACTACACCATAGTCTAGGTACATTATTAGTTCATACTGGGGTGCAAAGTACGGATTGTGCTATCATGTCAGGTTTGAAAAGAGTTCGGGAGAATACTTGCAGACCGTCTGGAGGAACGCTGCAGGACGCGAGTTCCCCAATCTTCACTTTAAGAAGCACTTAATGTGCAATTAAACCAGTTAAAAAACAGCAGTGGTCGGGTCCTGCCTTCAGAGATCTGATCTTAACTGGCCTGGTGCAGCCCAGCCTTGGGGTTCTCAGTGCTTCTTTGTGCAGCGAGGCTGAGGAACCCCCTTTGAAGTTACGAGGCCAGGCATGTGGGGGTGATGCCCTCACAGCCCCGTGGGGTGCAGGTGCTTCTCAGAGAGCAAATGTAGACACAAGGAAAATAATCATGTGGAAAAAACAGAGTGAATTCAAGAGACAGAGAGAAGAGGAACTGTTAGAAAAAGGGCTGCAGGGAGGTCTTGGGCTGCCCTGTCTAAGAAGAACCGGGGAACTGAATGGAGGCCCCGCAGGCTCTGCTCATCACTCCTCGTCCTTACACGGAAGTGGCATTAGGTTGAGGGTGGCGTGGGAATGAACGAAGGATGGACAAGGAATGCACGTCTGTCATGACCGTCAAACCTGAAACTAGCGTTTTTGGTTTGGAACTGCTTAAAGGACGCAGGCAGAGCACTATTCAACACTTCGAATCTGGGACAACATTAATAAACCCTGAAAGGGGCCGCTGTGGCCCAGCCTCCAATCTGGGCAGGAGGCACTTTCCTTGGTACAACAGTGTCTGTGCTGGTCGTGACGTCTATGTTCATGATGCTTTCTTCACATCTTAATTCTTGTCTCAAAGCAGCACACAAAAAAATGTAAGTGAGAAAAGTGGCAAGTGCCCAGTGCCGACACTCACGCCCTGGGTCTGAGGGACCTGCGAACGCCCTGTAGCAGCCTGTGGGGCAGCCTGTCTGTGGGATGCCTCAGTTGGGCCGTGAGAAGGGTCCACCAGCAGGTGACCCCCGGCTTTCACAGGCAGCACATTCTCACCGGTTTCAAACACAGCTGTCTGCGAACCAGACACCAAACGCGAGAGACACCAGGAGCACAAGCAGCAACATCCAGATGGTGAGAAGCTGGATCTGAGGACCCTCCTCAGAGGCACCGCGGGTGCAGTGAACAAAGATCCCGGCTTCTCTCAAAGAGCTCACTGCCGCGGGTCTGCTGTGATCCTGTTTCAGCCGATAGTGGCTTTTGGCTTCAAACCCCTATCCTCCCATCTTCTGCCGCCTCACAGCTGCCTGAAGTTCCTCCCCTGCTATGGTCTTGCTTTCAGTTTAGTCAGCAGACCCTGTGCCCTGACGCAGACCCCCCACCGGAGGGATCCTGCTTCTCCTACGGCAGCAGGGGCTCCCGACAATGCCTAGACTCGCCCGCCACCCCCGGTGAAAACTAGGAAATCACTTTGTTTGACTGGAGTACAAAGCTTGAAATGGCCTCAAGCACAGATCTGCCTTCATAAAAAGAAGAAAAAGATCAAAGGAAGAAGTCCCGTCTCCAAATCTCACGTGCTCCTGCCCTCGTGTCACCTCAGGGACAGGCGGCAGCAGATGACTGAGGTCCTTGACCAACGGGTTCTGGGTGGTTTTCAACCAGAGTCTGCAATACCTTTTGCATGCATTGACCTCCCTCAGCACTCTAGACTGGAGACCAACGTTTTGTTTGGCAGATGAGGAGCTCAAGTATGAGTGAGACGAGAGCACAGCTCACACATGTGTGCACTGGAAATGCTGCACACAGTAACACTCGCACGCTGATGAGAGGAAGAGGCACTGGCCAGGGCTGGAGGCGCAGTCAGGCCAGACGACCAAGCTGCTCACAGCCCAGCTCCAAATGGCCAGGGGGGTGAAGATGCTTTTTGAGAGGAACAACTAATTTTTATTTATTCGGAGGTTACAAATCAGTGGAGGGTGGAAACTCCTGGTGGAAAGGTTTTGGATTCAGACCACTCTGTATGTCTGTGTGGCTGTGTGAGCATCTGTGCGGTTGTCTGTGTGGCCGTGTGTGCATCTGTGTGGCCATGTGTGGCAATGGGGAGGCCCTTGGTTCACACACCTGCGCAGCAGGCTTTAGAATCCACTGTGGGCCTCAGCCTACTGACCTGAGGACCCCAACGTACATACAGAACCTGAAAAATTAAGTCTTTGTTTGACTCACAAAGTTCATCACAAGGCAGCTCAGATAATCAAAAACAGAGTAAATGGAAGATGTCTAGACTGTGACGCCCATTTTTCTACCTAAAAGGAGAAAGTATTATTCCTGATTTGAATTCAGGAACTAAAATATTACAGGACCAGCTCCCGGAGGCCGATGTTCATCCTGAGACACCAGCACACAGCAGGGGCATTTTAATGGCAGACGCCATGGTTAAGTCTCGGCCCCGAACCCCCGAACTCCATCACCGTCCCCCCTACACGTGCCGTGCAGTACGGACGTGAAGACCTGCCGCTGCAGTGGAAGCTCTCGTCAGTCTCTCCAGGTCCGCCTCCAACTGGGGAGTTCACCACACAGCCAGCTGGACATTTCAGTGCCCCTCCCAGCCGGCCCTGAGCGCGTTCTCAACTTCAACCTACTTACAGGGACTGAAGGCTTCGTAAATTCTGGAGAGCTTCTGCAGGTACCTGTCTCAGGTGATTGTTCTGCAGCATACTGCACATTAAAGCACAGAAAGAAAGATGTTAAAGAAAACTAACGATAATTGACAATAACCGGCCACAGCAGTGCTCCAGGTGACAGGATCAGCAGTGCCAGGCACTGCTCCAGGTGACAGGATCAGCAGTGCCAGGCACTGCTCCAGGTGACAGGATCAGCAGTGCCAGGCACTGCCCCAGGTGACAGGATCAGCAGATCTTCAGACGACACCTTGGCCCTTGGGAGCTGAAGCTCCTGTGGGGAGTGACAGATAATTAAAAATTAACGAGTGTATGATGTGAGACAGGTGACATACTACGAATGAAAAGCAAAACACGGGTCTGGGTCAGACAGTAACAGGTGGTCAGGGAAGACTCTGAGGAGGTGACACCTGAGCAGAGACCAGGATAGAGTCAGGGGGCGAATCGCTTGAACATCTGGGAAGAGCAGCTGCAGAGGCCCTGAGGCCGGAGCCTGACGACCCCGAGGAGCGGCCGAGGGTCCCTGGCGACTGAGGAGTGGCGGGAGCGGGGCTGGGAGAGCAGCGGGGCCGCCTCTCAGAGGACCCTGCGGCCCCCGTGAGGCTGTGCTGGGTGACGAGGACTCTCGTGGAAGGCTCACGTGGAGAACGATGGGATCTTATTTACGCTTTAAAGGCTCGCCTGGCGACTATGGATCAGACAAAGCGGAGGAGGGCAGCTGGGGAGGCTGGACGGGCGCCACCCTGCGTGCGGCCACATTTTGATGTGAACTAAACTCTTCCTGTGAGGTGTTTGTGCTGTGGTCTTCTGCTTCAACAGTCTGGAACAGTCCAGAACATGGGGCTGCAGGATGGAAACACTGACAACACTGAAATAAAGATAGATCCTGGCTGGAGGGAAACATTCCCATTAGATTCGTTATATTTTTCTACCTTATTCATAAACGTTTGTAACGCACTAACTTTGCAGCCATTTCCCCCCAGTATCTCACGGTCCACGTAAGCCGCAGCAGAAGACTATTCTAGGAAAGCAGATGTTTTTAGGAAACATTCCTACTTATCAGGTCACAAACTTACATGTGGATTTCAGAAATGGTTTGCCTGGTGTCTCATGTCCGCAGTTGAGAGTGTCTTTCATCGGTGGCCACCCGGGATTCTCCCCAGGATGTCTAACTGCAACCCGATGCACCTGGCTGTGCCCTGCAGTACCCTCTCGAGAGTGTCTGCCGAAGGCACAGGTGCCCAGGGCACACGTGCAGGGAGAGGACAGCACGCCTGAGAGCACGGGTTCTGGAGTCTGAGTGCCAGCAGTGTGGCTGTGGGGAATCACCCCACCTCTCCACGGCTCAGAGACCAGTGATGACACCCACGCCAGGGCTTATGCTCGGTCCAGCGAGTGACAGCACACAGAACAACAATGCGGCGTGGTCAACGGGCAGGATGGGCTGGCCCTTTTGGCGTGAACTGTGAACCCTTCTCAGACTGATGACAGTGAGATTGCACTGGACACAGCACTGTAATTGATGGGTTGGCAAAAAAGAAAAACCGATGCCAGTGGTTCTGACTTGAGACTCCTGCTGGGAGGTCTGTGAACAGTTCGCCAGGCTCCACCCGAAAGTCTCTGGTTCAGGGGGTCTGTAGGGCCAGAGGACTTGCATTTCCAACAGGCTCCCAGGGGACGCCGGGCCGTGGGGCAAGGCACCACAGGAGAGCTGCCCTGCACTGTGCCCACTGTTCCAGATGAGCGTTTCCACCTGAACTGGAGGCCACGCCGTGCTGGCCATAAGGCCCGAGCCCCGAGTCGGGGCAAAGCACAGCCCCTGCGCTCCTGGCCCGGGGTTTCCAGTCCGTCCAGTGGAGACCAAATAACATGCCCTGACCGAGAAGGTGCTGGAGGAGTGAAAGATGAAGGCATTTATAACACTTTCACATACGCAAATATGCGCTAATATTCAAGACAGATGTGAAAATATCAGGAGATCAAAAGATTTACACTTTTCTCCCCATGGCTGAGATTCTCTTTTCTAAGGAATATAATTCTGTCACTTGTATTCCAATAGTTTTACTCAAGTAATTTCGTTATGTTAAACTTGAATTCAACTAACTTTTCATAAATCAAGAGTCTCAAAAAGTCTCGGTTCCTTAGGAACAAAGTCACATTTTAGGGAGACCACACACTTCACTTCCCAGCTGGGAACTGGGAAAATTCTGGCATGAATTCCACATTTTGCATAATTTACTTGAATATTAAAAGTTTACATTTCTATATTTTACACTTTTCCAAGCAGTATTAACACACTGTGTAATTTTAACTTCACAGAAATGAATATTACATGCCTTGGAGAGGGTCTTTTCGCACTGACGTAATTAGGGGCTCTGTTGACTTCTGCTGTGTACTTGTAAGTCCAGCTCCTTCCCCAGGTTTGGAAGAGTCTCAGCTATTATTTCTTTGAACAGCTCTCTGCCCCTTCCTCCCTGTCTTCTCCCTCTGGGAGACCTGTAAGCCTTATGTTACTTTTCCTGATTGAGTTGGCTATTTCTTGAAGAATTTTTTCATTTTTTAAAAAATCTTAGCTCTCTATCCTCCTCCTCTACCTGAAGCATTTCTAGGTGTCTATCTTTGAGCTCACTGATTCTCTCCTCCATAAGGTCTGCTCCATTTTTTTATGCTTTCTATATTTTTTAAAAATCTCATTAATCGTGTTCTTCATATTTCTGTTAGAGCTTCAGTCTCTTTGGGGAAGTGCTCCTTCTGTTCATTAATCTTATTCCTGAGCTCAGTGAACTGTCTTTCTGTGTTTTCTTGTAACTCACTGAGTTGCTTTACGACAGCTGTTCTGAATTCTCTCAGTTAGACAGTGGTGCTCTGTGACTCCAGGTCTGGTTTCTGGAGAGCTGTCGTCCTTATGTTCTGTTGTCTTGCTGGGGCTCCTCATGGTGTCTGAGGAGTTGATCCTCTGCTGGTGCATTTATGGCAGTAACCCCCTTTTCTTATTGGGGTATAGCTTTGGTTCTGAGCTGCTTCTGGTTGTATGTGAGAGCCTGCATGTTCCACCCTCCACTGCCTCTGCCAGAGGTGTCTCCCATGCCCCCATGTGCTGCTTGTGCCCCCAAGGCTGCTGGTGCCTTGCTGGTTTCCATGTCGCTGCAGTCTCAGGTGTTGACCCCAGGGTCACCAGGCTGCAAGCACCTCTGCTGCTTCTGGGATCGCCTGGGTCTTGTGTCCACCCACTTGCTCTCCATGGGCTCAGGTGCTGCTGCCCTGTGCATCCCGTGCACAGCTGCTCCTGGGCTATCTGAGGTGCTAATGGCACCACTGCCGGCGCTGGGTTCATGAGTGTCACTGTTGCTGTCGGGGCCTGGGTTCTTAGATGCAGCCCTGCTGCTGGTAGAGCTGGTGCTGAGGTGATGCCACTGGGGGCTGGGTCAGGGGTTCTGCTGTGGTTCCTGAAGCCTCAGGTCACAGGTGCCACCTGCTACTGCTGGGGGAGGGGAAGGGTAAGCCACAAGCATTGTTGCTGGCCCAGCAGCCTCCAGTCACTGGTGTGCATTTTGAGACTTCAGGTCAGGGCACCCAGCTCCTGCAGGTGAATCTGCATTTTCGTTGCTGTCCTCACTGCTGGAGAGACCAGCACACTGCCTGGGGAGGAGGGGGCTGGGTCACCAGCACTGCTCTGTGTCCTGAAGCCCCGGACATGTGCCACCTGGCAGCCTGAGCCTCTGGTGGCAGCACTGGCACACACTGGTGGCCCACTCTTAAACCTTGGGTCAGGGCACCTGCCCCTGCTGGGGAGACTCATGCCTGGATGTCGTCCTCACTGCTGGAGAGACCGGTGCCACTGCCGGGGGAGGGGGAGGGCAGGTCGCCAGATCCACCCCTGTCCTGGAGCCTCAGGACGTGTGCATCAGCACCACTGGGGGGCAGGGCCAAGCCAGGAGTGCCATCTGCCCCGCAGCCTGTGGTCGCTGGCATGCGTGCGGTGTGAGGCTCTGCGTCTCAGATCGCTGCTGTCAGGGGGGCTGCTCCCCTAGTTCCTCTGCCCCCGGAGGTCGAGTCCACCACCTTCAGACATGTGGGGCACGGCATTCAGGTGCTCTGCGGTGCTGTGCAGGGCTGGTTGCTCACCGGGTCTCTGAGTGGCCATAACTCAGAGGGTCACACTCGGCCACGATGCTGGCATCCTCCTCTGAACCGTTTCTTGGTTTTGCTAGTCAAAAAGCAAAACTATTAAAATGTGGTCTTCCTAAAATACTGGAAAATTGGAGTAGAGGATGAGAGACATTTAGCTGGTTTTCCTCCACTGAATAGTTGCAAACTCTCTCAGTAGCTTCAGAAAATGGAACTTAAATCAGCTTTACCAACGATGGCTTTTAAAGCTGCCCCAGCTACCCCAGCAATTTAAGTTTTCAACTACTTCTACCAGTAAAACACCAAAAAGTAATTAAAAATTACATAATTTAAGTCCTTATCTCTCCCTAAATAAAGAACTTTGTTTAATTCCTTTCAAATGACAAAACGAGCAAGTTATCTTGATTATATCCTTATAGGTCTCCAATGAGTTAATTAGAAAATTCTGTTTTTGTCTAAGATATTCCAGCGGGAGGTGGAGTCACAGCTGCTCAAGTGCCCCCAGGACACAGCTCTCGGAACATGGCCGGCTCTCCCCCAAACGCTCCCTCACGCGACGCACTGAACACAAGCGGAGGGCACCGCGAACTGAGCTTAATGAAGTTCAACAAGAGGCCTGTGTTTCACGTCTCTGCTGATCTAATGACAGCACTTTAGGAAGTGTTACTTCTCCGCGTTGTGCACCTTGAATTTGTTTCCTGGCTGCTGAGGTAGCTCTGCTGATCTAATGACAGCACTTTAGGAAGTGTTACTTCTCCGCGTTGTGCACCTTGAATTTGTTTCCTGGTTGCTGATGTAGCTCTGCTGCTGCACGAGCACCATTTTCAACGAAATGTGTGGCTGGAAATCATGCCTGAATAGACGGGGTGCACAGACTGAGCTAATCATCCACTGACTTGAGGGAATATATTTATTGCACTTAATTTTTCCTGCACAGATTGTCGGGTGTAGCAGAACCTCTTGTGTTGCTACGTGTGACAGTCCTGCTGGCGACACCTGCTGTGGAGGCACGGCCAGCAGATGCGGGAGGTCTTCATGCCGGCACATCGCAGGACAGGTCACCCCAGGCCAACCATCTAGCAAACCAAGGCCCCACAGGCTCCAGAACACTCTGTGGTGGGTGGACGATCGCGACTGAGAACTGCTGCTTTGATGCTGAAATGCTTTCAAGACATTTGACCACAGAAGTCCTCGCTGAGCGTTGGTCTCCAAGCCGGCGAAGGAAAGGGAACAGCGAAGACAGCTCAGGGAGGCCTGGCTCCTCTAACCCTCTGCCCGCTGGCTGCGAGCGACCTCAACTGCCAGGCCCTCCTCACTTCCCTCCCTCGCCTGGAACAGAACACTGTCCTCGCTGTTTCGACGTGACACATGGGACCCCTGTGGCCAGGGCTCTTTCTCTCCTCCAGGCTCTTCTCCAGACACTCCTGCTTCTCCTGAAGCCTCGAGCACCAGCCTGCTCAGAGCTGCCGTCCATCCAGGCGACTCCTGCCTCTTGTCTGTGTGCTGTCCTCCCAGGTGCCACCTCCTGTGGGCGGCTGAGTCCTGGCTGTGCTTTGAGATTCGGCTCCTGGGTCATTTCTCTGGAAAAACATCACTCCTGGGAAGCTGAATCTGAACCATCAGACTGAACAAATGGTTCCCAATGCCTGTGGTTCCACGGTCTCGCACACACATCTAGACACTTTCCAAAGGACTCAGAGGGGATCTGTCTGTCTGTGTCAGGCCCACTATCTCGACCCCACAACCTACTAGATTATGAGCTCCTCAAGGATGTGGACCACACTCACTGGTCTTTCCAGCAATAATTTGTTCAATGCCACTTTGAGTGGTGCACACACACACACACTCTAGCTCAGCATATCCAATGTGCATTTTTGTTAAGTGAATTAGAATAATTGATTCCAGGGGCTGGCCCGGTGGTGCAGCGGTTAAGTGCTCACATTCTGCTTCAGCGGCCTGGGGTTTGCCGATTCGGATCCCAGGTGCGGACATGGCACCGCTTGGCAAGCTATGCTGTGGCAGGCGTCCCACATATAAAGTAGAGGAAGATGGGCACGGATGTGAGCTAAGGGCCAGTCTTCCTCAGCGAAAAGAGGAGGATTGGCAGCACATGTTAGCTCAGGGCTAATCTTCCTCAAAAGAAAAAAAAATTTCTTCCTAATAGCAAAAATAATTCAAGGGTGAGGGGACCAAACCCAAGGAGCTAAGCAGGCCAAACAGTGGTTCTGCCGTTGAATTTGACCTTGAACAAAATATTAAATTTAAATAAAACTACTTTTTTTAAAAGAGCCTATGGATCTCTCAGCTCAATGAAATGCAGTTTTCATTAAGCAGAAATATATCAAATGCCTTTCCAGAGTTTATAACATTTATCTCAAAGAAAAAAAATAAAATCAGGCTATTTTCTCTGCGATGATATTTTCCTGGTGTGATGTTCAACTTGCATTATCTATTTTCTCTACTGAGATGCGTTGTTTTTTTCTACACAGAAAAAACTGAAAGAAAAGTAAGCCATGGGTCCTAGAAGAAGGAGGTATTCAATAATGCGTTCTCTGATAAACAAACTGGGAAGATAGACATAAAACAATAAGAAAACCTATTTTTATGTCTCAATGAGTTAACATTTCTGAGTGAAGCAGCTGCTCAGTGAGTCTGTGCATGAGGCCTCTCCGTGTCTGCTCACAGTGGGCACGAACTTGGCATTTTCAGCTCATCCTTACCCAGCATCATCAGCAAACAGACTTTGCAAACGGCTTGAAGCTGTGATCTCGTCATGTCAGCATCACCTGGTGATCAAATGATTCAAGAGACTCTCCCCCACTTCATAACACACAAGGAAAGGGAAATGCTGTTTTAGAAGTTTGAGTTGATAAGTGGTTACTTAGAGGCGAACAAATTTAGTACTAAAGTTAGGAGAGGAGAGGTGAATTCTTTTCACACATGGCTCTTCAGAACCAACTAGGTGGACTGAACTGAGGCGAGTCATCCCACGGCTCCCAACAGCTTCCCAGAGGGTCCCAACCTTTACAAGCTAATTAGCATCCACTTGACGCTAAAATCAGAAATACAGCAAATAATAGCTGCTTTACTTACAGAACTTTGAGGCTGTAAAGGCCGGCGAATGCTCCCTTGGGAACAGAGGTCAAGGCGTTTCCGGCGAGGCGTCTGTGGGTTTCAAGGGAGAGGAGAGAATGAGCACAGCTCTTGTCACGAGGAATGCATTTTGTTGCTAAAAATGCAATACAATTATGTTCACACTCTATATACACATATATATATAAAACTCTCCTTTAAGAACATTTTTATACGGAAGCTTGGCAAGGGGATAGGCAACAGTGGCTGTGAGGCGACGAGCGTCACCACAGAGAAGACGGTGAGAGGCCACACCTGAGCCACCCAGGCATCCACGTGCAGGAAACAGCACAAAAACCCCAAGGTGGGAGTGGCCCTGGAGTGGTCCAGAAACGCACGGAGGCCACAGCATGGCTGCAATGGAGAGGAGAGGACAGGAGGGGAGGCTGGAGTGGGGAGGAGAGGACAGGAGGGGAGGCTGGAGAGGAGAGGACAGGAGGGGAGGCTGGAGAGGAGAGGGGAGGCTGGAGAGGAGTGGAGAGGGCACGAGGAGAGGCTGGAGTGGAGTGGAGAGGACAGGAGAGGAGGCTGGAGAGGAGTGGAGAGGGCACGAGGGGAGGCTGGAGTGGAAGGGAGAGGACAGGAGGGGAGGCTGGAGAGCATGCAGGGCCACCACACAGGGCTCTGGAGGCCACGATAAGGACCTGGAGCAGGGCGTGACGTGATCAGACTTGTGTTAAAAGGGTCTTTCTGCTGGGCCCCCTTTAATGAGCAGAACAGACCTTGGGGGTAAGAGGAGAAGCACAGGAGGCAGCGGGAGCTGTTCAAACCAGGGCGCTGGTGTCTCTAACGGGGGGCGATGGTGTGGCACAGCCAGTGGTGGTGGCTAGAGGTGGGCTTTGGTGTAGGAGAAAGAAGAATCCACCTGACAAGCACTGGGCTCGAGGTGAAGCATAGGCAGCCCAACAAGCAACACTCTGTACTCGTGGCTTCCTTATATGTCACCCACACGCATCTGACCAGTTATCCGAAGGGTTCTACACCACACTGAGGTCAGTGAACTGCGTGAGACTGCACAGCAGAGTCGCTCGTTGAACTGACAGACTCAGGCTCGGCTGACGAGCACTGACAGCTTAGCTCATCCACCAGACTGACTGGTGGCCGTTCCTTTCAGCCGCATGTCCCTGACAGTCCTGCTCAGCATGTCTTCGATAGTTTGAGTTCTGGAACGTAGCCTTAAAATGGCTTTCAAGCTGCATGATGGTTCCTGGGACACTGACTTTGGAAACAGGAAGAACGGCAAACTTTTTATTTACTTATTTTATTAGTTTAAATCATTATTAGGGGTAATGTCTTTCTGTCACATTTCCTGAGGCACGGCTCTTCGCACGAATTGCTTTCCTTTTCTGGGCAAGACTTCCAGAGCCCGTGAGTCAGAACTCACTGTGGGACCAGTGGCCTGTGTCGTCAGGGGAGTCTGTCTGAGAGCTGAGGAAGTCACGACGGACTATGAGCTGCTCGCAGGGCAGTGCAAGGTCTATCTTGTTGACAAAAATGACCATTTAAGGAAATCACTGCATCCTCCCTTCTTATGTCGTTACCATGTGGGATGGTTTCAGTCACTTTAAAATTAAACATATATGAACTATAGGGAACAAAAGACTTTCAGATGAGTTCACGAACGGTGAGCACTGCACAGGGAGCTTCCCCGTGGGGACGGGGACTAACGGACGCCTGCAGCCTCGTCCACCAGAGACCGACACACCGTGTGGCTGAGAGGTTTTGTTGTTTGTTTTTTCCCTGTTTCTAAAATTATTTCATGGGAATATCTCTTTCATCATCTTCATTTCTATAAATGAGATACAACTTAAGAAAAATTTTTATATCTTTTTATGTGATATGAAAAAGTTTTTATCCTTAAAGATACAGCTCCACATGTAAGACTCATATTGTCCCACCATTGTTAGTTGTACTGACTTAACTGCCATAAAAAGAAAAAAAATCATTAAGTTACAGCAGACACATTCCTCTTCAAATAAATCAAATAAGTAGATGTTTCGGTGCTGTAACAACAAACTAAAATAATTTTGAGAATGTATGTTTCTTTGAATCTCTAAAGTAAAGTAACCTCAAGGGTTTTTTTTGGTGGCTTCATTTCGTAAAATGGAGGAATGAGAGCAAAGCAAGCAGGTGTGGCCCTGATTTCTCCCCTGGACCTTGACCTGGAGAGCGAGAGCCGGGTGGATAAGGGTGAGCACCGAGCACGGAGGGTGCTGACCCTGCTCTCTGATGGGGACCCTTGGGAAGACTCCTGCGCAGGGGGCCGTGGTCCAGCATGGTCCCCTCAGCCCAGTTCCAAAGGCAGAGGAGCACTTTCAGACTAAGGAGAGGCCTGGTGAGTGCTACCAGACCTCCCACGTCAGTTCTTGCAGAACCCTTTCTGTTGCCAGTCTTCCTCTTTTTGCTGAGGAAGACTGGTCCTGAGCTCACATCTGTGCCCATCTTCCTCTATTTTGTATGTGGGATGCATGCCTCAGCATGGCGTGATGAGCGGCGTGTAGGTCCATGCCCAGGATCCAACCCTGCGAACCCCAGGCCGCCGAAGTGGAGCACATGAACTTAACTGCTGCGCCACTGGGCCAGCCCCAGCAAGAACCCTTTTGACTTCTAACTCTTAGGTATTTTTTTCTTCTTTCCCTTTTTAGTTTTCTTTCTTCTCACCACTAATTTGCTGTGAGACTTAACACAGGTCACCTCTCTTCCCTGGGCCTCATTTCACTTTTTTTAAATGATAGGGTTCTTCCCCAAGGTCTTTTTCTGCCCTAAAGTTGTTTTTATGTCACACGTGCAATTCCTGCTCACCCTCATGCTTTTCTCCCTCATCCTCCCTCCACTCCACTTTTTCTTCTTGTTTATTTTAAGACTTCTCTATCTGAGCTGGCCCCGTGGCCGAGTGGTTAAGTTCGAGCGCTCCACTGCAGGCGGCCCAGTGTTTCGTTGGTTCGAATCCTGGGTGGACATGGCACTGCTCATCAAACCACGCTGAGGTGGCGTCCCACATGCCACAACTAGAAGGACCCACAACGAAGAATATACAACTATGTACTGGGGGCTTTGGGGAGAAAAAGGAAAAAAAAATAAAATCTTTTAAAAAAAAAAAGACTTCTCTATCACGTCACTAATATATTTTATTTATTTATTTTGAGGAAGATCAGCCCTGAACTAACATCCACCGCCAATCCTCCTCTTTTTGCTGAGGAAGACTGGCCCTGAGCTAATATCATGCCCATCTTCCTCCACTTTATATGTGGGATGCCTGTCACAGTGTGGCTTGCCAAGCAGTGCCATGTCTGCACCCAGGATCCGAACTGGCGAACCCCAGGCCACCGAAGCGGAACGTGTGAACTTAACCACTGTGCTACCAGGTCAGCCCCTGTCACTAACATTTTAAAAGCACCTTCTCATACTTTATATCAGTAGATGCATCAGAGATTATTATGGTCAACATTTTGTAGATAAAGACACCAAAACTCAGAAATGCTTTAGGCAAAATGAAAGACATGGCCTCTGTCCCTTTGCTGATTTCATTTAAATGTAACCTGCTCTTTCCTCCGGAGCATGGAAGCTACAGCAGTGCTTAAGTGATCAGAGCAGGATGACCTTGAGTATGATGATCCTTATGATTTAAAGACGATATCTCAGACCACTCAGCAACTTCCTGCTGGCTCCTGAAGTTACTGCTTCATCTTCCAACCTTTACAAAGCACATGAGACGCAGAGGCACTCGCTCACACTTGCTGAATTAGTTTGCTCTGGAGATGTGGTGAGGGCAGACATCAGGCTTCACAGGACCAGTTTTCCCTTCTCCCAATCTGAAGATCTGATGATGCCAGCTTATTTCCAGGTTTCTGGTACTATCGTCTTCTCCTATAAGACACTCATGCTGGATGCAAGGGCCAGACATTAGGGTTTAACTCTCCGTCATTCGTCTTCGGTAAGGTTTGCTGAAGTCTGTTCAGCAGCCTTGGACACAAGAATGACGACATTCCATCAACTGTTTCCCTATTGGAGAAAAAAGTCTTTCCTAATATGCCTGAAGAAATCGAGATTTTCAAAAACTGCGGTATCTACGCACCTCCCTCAATAAGTTAAGCATATCTAATTGGTCAAATCCAGGCCAAAATCATCCTTTCTTAACCTGTGTATTTACGACCATATTAAATTTTGTTTTCATTATTAGATAAGATAAAAAACATTCGGATATCAAGGTTTAAGGGCTAAGAGAGCACTGAACTGAATACTGGAGCTCTTCAGGTCAACAGGGAGCTCCTGCCGTGGGCGGACGGCCCTATGGTTTCTCTAACCACAGACTAACGACATTCAGTTTCCAGCTCCTTTGTGACGTCTTCCTTAGTGACCTCAGTCCACAGTCAGCTTCCCTGTAGGACATATTCTACACAATGCTGTCTATAGAGGTTCATTTTCTACTTTTTTTTTTTTTTTGAGGAAGATTAGCGCTGAGCTAACTACTGCCAATCCTCCTCTTTTTTTTTGAGGAAGACTGGCCCTGAGCTAACATCCATGCCCATCTTCCTCTACTTTATATGTGGCATGCCTACCACAGCATGGCTTGCCAAGCAGTGCCATGTCCGCACCCGGGATCGGAACCTGTGAACCCTGGGCCGTTGAAGCAGAATGAGCACACTTAACTGCTGTGCCACTGGGCCGGCCCCTTCTCCTCTTTTATATGTAGTCTACCTGATTCACTTATAGGCTTCTAAGGTCAAGAATCTTATTGCCTGCCCAGAGCAGGGAGCTGAATCAATGGTTATTGATTGATCATTTGATCTTGTTTCCAAAAACAGCTGGCCAAAGGGCTGCAGTTGCTCAGGTCTGACATAACTGTTCCAAGATGGCTGGCTGGTCATTACATACCCAGATCAGAAAAGCTGAAGGATGTTCCTTCTTCATTCCGCATCAGATTTAATTCAGCAATTGACTTGAGTACTTTTAATTTGCCACCTACAGTGCTTTTGGGCATCCAAATAGTATTTACCTTTTATTAAACAATTTATAAGTGCTAGGCACAATGT